GCGTGGAGAAATCCGGCTCGACCCAGGGCCCTCAGCTGGACGCGGCTGCCATGCAGGACGTTAAGAAAGCTTTAGAGGTGAGCGACTGTTGCTCAGTAAACACAAACACTGCTTATCTACAGACACACACGCACACGGGAGCTCACCTGGGAACGACACCTGTGCAAAGCATTGTGGGTGATCTCAGAGCGTAATTAGGCTCTGTGAATAAACTGATGAGGGGCTCAGAGGGTTGAATTTTAAACAAGCAAGGCACTGAATATGAATTAAATTAGAGTTTAAATTAGCTTGGAGTAAATGCAATTTTGCTCTGAATTACTAATTTTTTCCTGTCACTATTTGTTTGCAGTTATTGCATGTTAATTCATCTTGACAAATTATACATGCAGGAGATCTAATCTCACGTTTTCAAAAGTTAAAAAAGCATGCACACAATGATTACAAAATAAAGCAAAAAAACTCATGTAAACTTTTTGCATATATTTGATTTTTTTTAATCATCATATTTTTCAAATGCATTTATTCAAATGGCTTAGAATCAGCATAAATCTGCTCATTGTTAAAGTAATTAAATGTATTAAAAATTAAAATAGTTAAAATATGACTTGCTTTGGAACAAGCAATAATAAATTAGCTGAACATTTTATTATTTTATATGTTATTATTTTTATATAATTTTTATTTTATTATTGTTATATATATATATATATATATATATAATCCTATTTTTAATGTATTATTAAAAATAAACAATTTTATAATTATATAACTATTCTATGTATTGTTTTATAGTATTATTCTATAATTATATAATTTCTTTATATATTATTTTTTGATGTATTATTTGTATAATTATATAACAATTATAAATATTATTGTATAATTTATAAATGGATTAAAATCAGCATAAATCGGCTCATTGTGAAAAGAATTGAATATTTTAAAAATGAACATAATTAAAATATGACTAGCTTTGGAACAAGCAGTAAACAAGTAGTTAAAATGCATGAAATTGAAACAAATTGGATTTATTGATGATAAATGTATAAAGCTGGTTAAATATATAAAGTACTATTAGAGAAAACTGACCTGTTTCATTAATGTATGACTGACAAATACAGTATGCATCACATTAAGTCTATTAGTTTGTTAAAACTGTGTGATCCAAATGCATGGAAATTTTATGTGCAATTGAAACGCATACATCTTAAATTTAGGCATTAGAGCCATGAGTGTGTTTCTGATCTAAGTGAACACATTTGATGAAAAGAGACCCATAAAAATCAGATTCAGGCCCTAAATACACTGTTAAACACCTCATGCATTCTGCTGCTTCCCTTCTTCACATTCTCTGTAATTAAATTTCATTCTGCTGCCTTTTGTGCAGATTTACAGGCCCTTCTCTGCACATATCAGAGCTAATTCCACATGAAAGCCTTTTTAATAGGGAAAAGATTTCCTAACGCTGCTCAAAGAGAAGGTTTGAAGCACTCGCCGAGCAGCACACAGGCAGACTGGAGATTTATACCTAAAGCTGAAGTTAATAGCAGAAAGTTTGAGGCCCGATGATGTTTGGACGTCTGCGTTCTGCTGATACCTGACCGTGTGTGTGTGT